CTAAGAATAGCGTGTCCACTGCGGACCACACGCCAATTAAAAATCTATTATGACGCGACCGGCCGTGGACGCATTTTTCTTCTCGAACCTCGACCCCAAATTGCTGCCGTCGTCCTTATCTCTCAAAATCTCGCTCTTTCTGGCCACGAGTTCTCTAAACCTGCGTGCGTGTCCCGTCTCTTTCCCTTTCCCCGTTGTTTTTGGTCGGAAAGCCTTGTTCCTAGCGGTTTGTGTCTACGACAGCTGTCAGATTTACGAATTTAACCATGTGTGAAGGTATGTGGTGTGTTCAAGTGTGTTATAATGTTCTAAATACTAGTACTCGATGGATGGTTAGCGGGTGCTCTGGAGTGATATGCTCCTTCTTTTCTATTAAATATCTAACGTCATTATCTCTCCTCCTCTTGTCTTTTGTGTTCGACTCTCTTCTTGTAACACCTGTAATTTTCGGTACTTACCTGACCTACATGTGTTGCAAGTGCCGTAAAACACCTACTTAAACTTTAAAAGCCTAAAACTTTAGTACTCGCAAGGCGGTGGTCACTGTAGTCTGTGGCTTACACATCAGCTAAAATAACCATACTAATCTGATGTCCTTAAGGTCTATGGTCAGATGTTTAACGTTCCATATGGGGACAGGGTTGTTGCTTTTATACAGCACGTGTCAGTCCTTCAGTAGGTGTCTGTGTACGCATGACTCTTATGTGTCTGTCTTTGTATTTTTAAAAAGGTACGGAGGGATACTGCCAATTACATTGTGGGTGTATTATTATATTATGTAGTATTTGTATGTGCTTATTTCGTAACGATGTCAGTGTAAGCGTGAGTGTGTGGTAAGCAGGTAGATGTGTGTGTGTGTGTGTGTGCACGTGTGTGCGTGTAATGTGTGAGTGTGTTTGTCTGTGTGAATGTTGTTCGTATATGCATTTATGTAAAACGCTTAGAGCTGTGTTCACACGGGAATGGGTGCTATAGAAATGATCTATATTATTGTTATTATACGGAGAGACGGACGTGAACTGTATGTCGATGGTCTCGGGGGCAGATGGGCCTTTTCCCAGGAAGTCTTATGATATTACAGGAGAGGCTTAAAACTGTTTAATTAAACTATCACAGACCATTTCAGCTCAAAATGTGGCATAAATGAATAGAAAAATATGAAAAATCTGTTTCTATTTATAGAGATTATTTGACCTTCATTTACAACACGGTCAAAAATGGGTTTGAGAAAACTTTGCTGTAGGCCGTCTTGTGCCTGACCTCAATGATGTGTTTTGTGCCTTTGTGTGCAGGCTCTCTTGTAAATCGTGTTTTGTGCTCGAAACAGACATGATGTGAATGTCAAAGTTTACTTTCAATGTTAGGTCAGGACAAAAAATCAGTCCATAAGCCAAAGAAAATCCTCTTCAGGCACCACTTTTGGTTAATGCTTTTGCTGTAGTACGATGAGGAATATTCTCTCTTAACTGTTTTTGGGAGGTTTTGTTTTTTAATCATTATTGTCTTTCCGCTTTAAAGATATGCACTGGCACAATCAGTAGAAAGACCCTCAGCAACATTTTGGAGAGAGCAACGGAGCATCATCAATAGACATGTCCGAAATGCAAGGATGTTGCTTCCTGAAACAGTGAACAATGAACGCTTTAAAGAGAAATTGTTTGGACTTTTCAGAAAACCCCGAACCCTAGAAGGCAGCCGAGCGGGTACATTGTGTTTGCCGGAGAAGCCCGCAAGCAGATCTGTCAGGACAACCCCAGCTGTTCGTTCGGTGACATTAGCAAGATTGTTGGCACGCGCTGGCGGGCGCTGACTAAGGCCGAGAAGGACGTGTTCGAGGAGAAGGCTCGCAAGATCGCAGAGGAGATGGTGGCCAAACAGGCAGAGGCGGACAAAGCCCTCAACGACTCTGTGAGGTCGCAGAGTCCCTGGTCAGATTATGGAGGTAAGACAGCTTATGAGAGCTTATGGGAGATGCACAATGAAAAGGAATATGCACGTATACACATATATATATGTCGTGTATTTGTGTGTGTGTGATTGTTTGTGCACCTTCATTTTTCGTGTAAGTTTTTTTGGTGTTATATGGTCTGGGAAAGGAATGGTCATTTTGGAGAACATTTCGAAGTCAGCTTGGCGTTCACCTTTGAACTGTATTTATATGCTTGTGTGACTAGATTCATAGCCAGAGAGAACAGTGTGTGTGTGTGTGTGTGTGTGTGTGTGTGTGTGTGTGTGTGTGTGTGTATGTGTATGTGTATGTGTGTGTGTGTGTGTGTGTGTGTGTGTTAGTGAGCCTTTCTGTATGTAGTGGCATGACACAGAGATTGTTTTGTATGTACCGGTATTGAATGCGTAGGATTGACAAGTGTGTGGTGTCCTATCAAATCAACTTGTGACGAATTTGCTAAGAGAAATGGAATCTTAAATAGGAAAGTTCGGACTTTTTAAATTTGAGAATAAGAGATTTTAGCTCTCATCATCTGTTTTGTTTTAGGAAAAATTCAGTAAAATTTGTGCAGTCTGTCTAGGGCTGTAATAATTTGTTCCAATTCAATTACTGGCTGTCTTTATTTTGCAGTTTTTATAGAAATATATTGTAACATTGACTCTTTAAACCCCATCGGACGCTGGGAGCCTCTGATACTAATGACAACTTTCGTTTGATTTAGTGTTAGTTTTTGCTTGTTTTTCGAAACTATTTCGTAAGTTTCTCTAAGTAATGACTGAGCCTTTGTTTCTTCCTTTAGAAGTTGGATGCAAACTTTTGAGGTTATAATGAGACACAGTGCACCAGATTTAGATGACTAGAAAAAACTCTGGAAAACGGTTGAAAAAACGCAGGGTTTAAAGAGTGAGGTTTCCACAGATCATGGTGGTCATTGTGTTTTATACAGTTCCTGCTTTCTCAGAGCTGCCTAGTCACCAGCATTTTAAGCTTCACATCGTTTCTCTCAATGAATTACCGTTGGACTTAAGTGTTAATGAGTATCTAACTCTTAAAACAGTTTGGACTTCTAGTGGATAAGATTTAAGATCTATTTTTGTTTGCGTAATGTCTCCTAAAGTGCATTTTTAAATCTGTGAAGTTCTTCTGCGATACACTGTATGTCTGTTTGAATGGTTTCGTTTGTCTCTGATGATGAGTGCTGTGCTATAAATATGTGTAGAGTTTCTGTGTATTGTTTGTCTTTTCATCATCACTCTGTGTCTTGTGTTCACATGTGGGTAGTTGGCGGGTGCTCTGGTGTGGTTTACTCCTTCTTTGCTATCAAACGTCTATTGTCCTGATCTCTCCTTCTTTTTTATGTTTGTTACTCTCTTGTAACACAGAATCCATTCTTCGGCACTTATATGACTGTATTGTGTTGCAAGTGCCGTAAAACTGGTACTAAACAAGATGATGAGTGCTGTGCTATAAATATCTGTAGAGTAGTTTCTGCATATTGTTTGTCTTTTCACGATCACTCTGTGTCTGACGTGTTCATGTCAGCTGATGATCGGAGTCTGTGACTACAGTATCTTATATGTCATGACTGGTCTGTTGTGTGGCTTTTGAAAAATGATCTGATTATGGTTTGGCGGTCGTTGGTGTTTGTTTCTTTTGGTTTAAGAGCATTGAACGTTTTCATTTTGTTTGTTGCCCTTATACTCTTGCATGAGGTTATCGTGGTACAAAGATAGATGTTTTTGTCTGTTTCACCTTTTACGTTTATCATCTGTCAATTGCACAAGAAGACCTCAGGGTACATATACTTTTTAAAAAAAAATCTTTTTTTTATGGTACAGTTTTTTGGTTGTGGACTTTTCTGAAGTTTTCTGGGGTTGCGTTTTGTACAAGACCATGTTCATTAAGACATCTTTCATTATTTATTTTTTTAAAAACTCTGGTATAGTTTGCTTCACCTTCTTTTTTTAAAAATTTCAGTTTTTTCAAGTCCTGACCTGTCTTGTGTCCCTATACTTACACTTCATGTGACTTAACAAATGTGCTGATAGCACAGCAGAGACATCCTATTTATGTCATTTCTAGCCTGGCTCTATTGATTTCCTAGTCCTTGTCAGCTTGAATGAGTGGGGAGAATAAGGTGCCAGGCCAAGTGTTAGATGGTTAACATTCAGAGTTTGTTCATGACTCTCTTCTGTTTATTCATATATATATATATATATATATATGTATAACATTCTACTTTCCTCAGATATTTGTTTTCTCAATTCTATTAAAAGTCTTCTCTGTTTCCTTTGAGAGTAATACTTGTACTCTGTTTAGTACGGTTTAGTTTTATTTTTGAAAATTTTTTTTTTTTAGTCAAAGTCAAACTTTTATGACAGTAACTTCTGTGCCTGGTGAAAGTTTCAATGTCTAGCTCTTAGCTCCACCTCCTTGTTAATGTCGAAATACCTTTAGCTTTTCTTTCATTCTCAGATTGCTTGTGCAGTTTATCCATAGCATTGTTTGTTTGTTTATTAGCACTATCCCTTGTGTACCTACCACCTTTCCTCCTTGTGTTCGTTTCATTTAATTTTTACGTTGCTCTTGTGTTCCATTTTTATTTACCCCCTCTCCTCCGGGCGTTCCAGCCACCC